ATGTAACAGATTCAGGTTGGCTTGGAAAAAATGCAAATATGGGGATTAATTTACTTTTAGTCGCCTCATCTTTCATGATTCTAAACTCAACGAAGAGTTTGAGAAATTTGAGAAAGAATTGGAAGGTTATTTTTTTTCTGGTTAATAATTCTATTCAATTTAGTTCTATCAAGACTATAACTGTGAGAGAGTTTAAGCCCTTAATGAGAAATTCTACCAACTGGTTTAGAGAAATCAAGAAACTAGTGTGAAAAATGGAGCTTGAGAAACTATAATATTCATATAATTATTATTAATATAAAAGAATATAAATTAATCTCAAGTATGAGTGGAAAATTTTGATGATAAAAATAAAATATTAATTCCTTATGGAAGCTAAGTTATTTTAAATTTCCATTCAAATTAATCACATAGTTCAATCCATTTTCCAATCTTAATTCCATTACCATTTAAATCATATGAACCACCACCTCTAAAAAGGAGAATTAATTATTTATTAATATTACATCGATATATAATTATGACCATATAATATGCCTTATTCAGCCAAGCAGGTTTCCCAAATGCCCACTTTTATACCATTTTGATATCGACCATTATATGTAAGTTTAAAATATTTGTAAAACTCATTGCCTAATTCAATCCATTTACCATTCTTTTTACCTTACTTATTATATTCTCCACCCCCACTTAATTTGAATATTTATAAACTTTATACATCTTTTCGTCTTCATAGATATACTTCCATGTTCCTTTCTTAAAGCCATCTACATAATCTCCTACTTCATAAACTTAAACAAACTCACAATAATTCTAAAATATTTCAATCCATTTTCCTTATTTCTTTCCTTCATTAGAATAATATCCTCCTACATCACTTAAAATTAATCCTTTCCAAGTTGCAGTCCATTTTCCAATTTTTTAATTTTGTTTTCCATAATCACCAATCCAATTCAAATGTTATATTTATTCTAGATTAATTAATATTTCAGGCTTATTTATAGTGTCTTAAATTTAATCTCTATTAATTTAATAAATCTTAAGTTTTACTTTCTCAATAACAATCTATTCATTACATACTATATTTCTTTTTCTTTAGTTTAGATTACTTGAAATTTTACTCTTTTTATAGAAGCTATCGAATTTTAATCCCAAACAATTCCTTCATATTCTGTAATACTTTCCTACCATTCTAGTGATTCATCTTTCTAAATCCTTTTTATAATTATAAATCAATTATTTTACTTAAATATCTTCATTACTTCCTTAATCTTTTCTTTAAAATTTTAACTGATTGTGTTTGCACCCTATTCTATCCAATTCTTAATTTACATCATATTAATCAAATAAGAATTTTTTTATTTATTCCAATCATCTAAAATGTTTCCTTCAAAAATTTACACTATATTGTTCAAGTCAGTATATGAAGATTCTGCTAGATTTTCATTTTAGTTGATAAGATTGATAAATGATTAATTTTCTTTCTCAATGTTATCGAATATTGATTTAATTAATTCTTTTACATCTTCCCAAAATTTCTTAATAATAGTTTCAGTTTGAGAAATTAGGATTTTAAAACCTTCTCTTAATTTCTTTAATTCAGATATTCCATTAAGCTCATGCTCTTATAATTTCTTGGTGATTAATTCTTTAAATTTACAAATTGGAATTGTAAGTTTAACATCTACTCCATGCTCATATAAACATTCAACACAAAGTTTTCTTAAACATTTATGAGGAGCTACACAAATCAAAGATATTGGACTTTAAGAATGATAAATGCACATCATTTTCTAAAAAAATAAAAATACTAATGAGTATTAATTTCTTAATATTAATGACGGTTTCAAAAAAAATATAAAAAATTTTTCTTTTTCATCTTGGGGTTTAATTTAGATTTAATTAATATATAAATAAAAGTATACTTTAATTCGTTATTCTATTAGGAAAATGGTATGCTTAAAGTTTGAAGAGATTGGTGAATATAAAAATAGTAAAAAGTTTGGTAGATGGGATATTAAAGCAGAGGATAAACTTATGTATTATTAAAAATAAGTTATAAAATTTTAGTGGAGGTGGTTAATATGATGTAGAAGGAAACGGAATTAAGATTGGATAATGGATTGAGCTAAACGATCAATATGAATAGAATTTATAAATAACAGAAATTGGTGAATATAATAATGGTAAAAAGTTTGGTAGATGGGATATCAAAGTTGAAAATAAATTTAAGTATTATTAAAAACAAGTTAAAATATTTTAGTGGTGGTGAATTATATGATGGAGGAGGAATGAAAATTGGAAAATGGATTGAAATAAGAGATGTATTTGAATGGGATTCCTAAATTACTTATAATGGAGAATATAAAAATGATAAAAAAATTGGTAGATGGAATATTCTGTATAGGTATAATAGCAGAAAAGAATTTGAATAAATGTAAATATTAAAATTAGATATTTAATTTTTTTAGTGGTGGCGGTTCATATCATAAATAAGGGGATGGGATTAAAGTTGGTAAGTGGATAGAGTTAAGTAATTAGTTTGATTTGAGATCGTAAGTCATTTACAATGGTGAATATCAAAATGGTAAAAAAATTGGTAGATGGGATATATTATAAAGAGATAGCAGTAGTTATCCGTTTGAATAGATGTAAACTTATTTATTAATTATATACTTTAAGTGGCGGTGGATCATATGATGAAGGTGGTGATGAAATTAAGATTGGATAATGGATTGAATTAACTGATAATTTTGGGAATCGTTTTTGGAATAAGAGAAAAGTCACTTTTAATGGTGAATATAAATAAGGTAAAAAATTTGGGATTTGGGTGACTATGGACATAGAAAATGATTAGAAATTGAATGAAATGAAATATGATTTATGAAATTAACATTAATTGTAAAAGTATTAAATAAATTATAGATTATAATTTATAAGACTAATTAAAAAAAATTCAATTTAAGTAATCTAATTTAAAAGAATTTTATGAAAATTAACTTGTAACTAATTTTAATTTAATAAGTTACAAAAAAAATATTCAATTATATTAACATAGAATAACAATTTATTATCATTATAGCATAATGCTTATTTTATATTAGAGTAAACCATTAATTGTTAAAATTAAAAGCATTAATTTTTTATTAATTAATTAAAATAATAAATATTAATTTAGTTCTTAATGAAATTTAATTATTGTATAATATATAAAAATTATTATCTATCATTCATTATAATTATCTTTCAATTAATTATTTATAAACACCATTTTTTTCTATTAATTCTTGATGCTTTCCTTATTCAACTATTTATCCATTTTAAACTACAATAATTTTGTTTGAATTAATAACAGTAGATAATCTATGAGCAATTATAATAATAGTCTTCTAACCTGATTAAACAAGACCATCTATAGCCTTTTAAACTTGAAATTCGGATTCAGAATCTAAAGCACTGGTTGCTTCATCAAAAATCAATATTTTAGGATTTTTAATCAAAGCTCTTGCAATAGCAATACGCTATTTTTAACCTCCTGATAATTTCACTCCTCTTTCACCAACTATAGTTTACAATCCATCTGGAAATATTGACAAATCTGTAACAAAATCATAAGCATTAGCTAATTTCATAGCATTATCAATGTCTTCTTAAGTGAAAGTATCTACACCATATGTAATATTATCTTTCAATGTTCCAGAAAACAAAGTTGGTTCTTGTGCAACAAATCCTATTTGTTTATGTAACTATTGTAGATTATACTCCTTGATATCTATGTTATCAAATAAAATGGATCCTTATTTTGAATCATAAAATCTCTATAGTAATTAAACAATAGTAGACTTTCCACTACCACTTTGCCCAACAAATGCTACAACTTCCCCTTAATTAATCTCTAAGCTTATTGCTTTCAAACTCATAACATTTTATTTTGTTGGATAACAAAATGTTACATTTGATATATTAATTTATCCAGATATATTAGAAGCATCAATAGAACCATTACGTATCTTAACTGGATGATCTATTATATCAAAAATTTTTTCAGAAACTGCAGCAGCAGAAATCATTTCATTCATAGTTCCACTTAAAGCCAAGAGAGAAACTAATTTAAAATAATATAATACTTGTCATAGTTAAAGTATATAATACAAATGAACTTAAGTCTCCTATTGTTGATTATCCATCAATTACTAGACTTCCACCATAATACAAAATAGCTAATATAACAGCATAAGCTAAAACTATTCCAATAGACATAAATTAACTTCCTAAAACTGCCATTTTATTACCAAAATTATAAACATTTTAATTAGCAATTTGATATGAATTACTTTCTCTTTCTTCTGTTGAAAAAGATCTTACAATTCTCATATTGCTTAAGACTTCTGAAGCTATTTAAGTAGATTAAGCTATAGATTATTAATATTCCTTTCTTATTTATTTGTATTTTTTAACAAATATAATTGCCAAAATTGTAGAAGGAGGAATTACACAAAACAAAACAAGTGTTAATTTCCAACTTATAAAACATAGTAAAATCAAACTACCTATAACTTGAATAGCATTTTTTAATAGTGTAGATATAGAATCATTGGTTCCTTTATTAATTACAGATATATCAGATGAGAGTCTAGATATTAATTCTCCAGATCTATTAGAATCAAAAAATTCTATGTCCTTTTAAATTAAACTTTAAAATAATTCATTTCTTAAATGAAATGTTATTTTTTCTCCTAAAATATTAAAAGCATAAGTTCTTAAAAAAGTAAAAAAAGCAGTTACAATTGTTAACACTATGAATTATAAAGTTAAGTAATTTAGATTTTCTTTAGAATTAGATTTTGTTATTGAATCAATCATTTTCCTAAGATTATAAATAAATAATACCCTGTTAAGTATGGTAATGCTACCATTGAAACTGAAGTAATAAGCAATCCTAAATTTCCAAAAAACAATAATAATTTATTTTACAATGAATATTAGATTAATCGAAAAATGCTTGATCTTTTATTATTACTGTTGATAGTGTTTTCAATTGGAATATTTATTTTCTCTTCCTAGAATTCTTAATATTAAGGTTCCAAATTCATTAATTTAAAAATTTATTAGTGCTTTGAAATTAATCTAAATACTATGTATTATTGGAATTCAGAAAATCCAATAATATTATTCTAAATTTTCAGTTGATTATATCAGAATAGAAATTTGATTAATGTAAAATTAAGAATGATCTATGAATTTCTATACTATTTGAAAATATTCATTTCATATCAATTGTTTGATCCTTCTATTTTGTTTGAAATTTGTTCAACAAGGATATCCTCGGATAAGCTTATGGTATAAAAATATAATTCAAAATTATGAAATATGTCTTCTTTATTTCATAAATCATTTCATTAAATTTAATTTGGCATTTCTGTTAGTTGCTTCTCATTTCAATATTTAATAAAAATATATATGAATATGATCATCAATTAATAAAAATATAATTATAGATAAGTGATAAATCTTGCTAATTACCCAAATAATTTAATAATAAAATAGTTATATCTTCCTAATATTTAATCTAATTTTGGTAGACTTGTAACTTTATTATTATAGTAAGAAATTAAATAATAACAATAAATAAGATTAGATTTTATATTTGTTGAAAAGTTAAGTCCTTATATTTCTCTGATAATTTTACAAATTTAGCATAAGTGATATTTTATTCAGTTATGACTTAAATCATTAAATTGTGTTTTGATTGTTCTTCAAAAAAATCAAATGAAAAAAATAATTATTAAGAGGTGATCCTATAAGATTGAGCTTTATTACTATTATTTAATTAAAATGATTTAAAAGTAGACAAAATACATTTGTTAATTTGAATAAATAAATTATTTTAAAGCATGGTAGGATCAAACACGCTTAATATTAAAAATCTTTAATTATTCCCATAAAAATATGATAATTGCATTGAAGCCTTATTTTAAGTAAGAATTTTATGAAATGAAATTTAATAATAAAATTCCTATTAACAAGTATAATAGAAACTGTATTTTAGGTTTATAAGTATATTAAAAATACTAAAGAAAAAAAAAAATTGTTTATTCAGTATTCTCTAAGCATTAGTTAGATTCCCAAAACTAAAATATTTATTTTACATAATACTTAATTATAAATAGGATAAATACTTAAGCTATTGTAGGTGATAATAATTCATTCTGAATAAGTTTTTAGATTATACAAATACTTGCCACAACTATTTAATTATTTACATAATTATTAATTCAATATTTAAAAAATGTATAGTGATAATAGTATAGATTTTAATTTATTTTTAGTATTATTTTCTTTTTTATAAATTAAGAATCACTATTTTAAGAAGAAGAAGATTTTAGGAATGTTTAGAAAAATTAAATTTTTAAAACTGATATCTTTAAATTAAATTAGATTACCTTTTTATAAGTTACTAATCTCAGATATAAATGACATTTCGAATATGAATTTGTCTTAATATATAATATTGATGTATCATTATTACCGTAAAAAATAGTAAATTTATTTAAAAATGAATAATTGTTGGTATATTTATTATATATTATATATATTTTATAATAATTATTATATAAATTTTTATGGAATAAAAATAAATTTATGCCAAAAATTGTCATTGTATAAAATTCTATAGATTAGCATTTCTATTTTGATATTCATTTCTAAAGGTTATATTTAAAATTGGAATTACATTTCCAATTAAAATATTTAAGTATAGTAATGAATTTTTGAATAAACTATTTGAATAAAGCATCCAAATTTAGATAGAAATGAAAATGTTTAAAAAAATCAAAGAAGGAAATATATTAATCATATGATAGGAAATAAATGTTTAAATTATAATTTCCCTTAAAAAGTGAGATCCTACCTTCAATATAAAAGACTTTTTTTTTATAAGTGAATATAAATATGGTAATAAAATACGCATTAAATATACAAATTCATGTAGATTTTTGATATTATTTTGGAGTATAAATATCTATGTAGATGATCTTATGAGAATTATTTAATATTATTGTTGGATAATGGTTTATGTTTCATTTTCCTCCATATTTGAAAATCATATAAATTGGTATTTCTTACTTTATCTGTTTTTGTTTCATACAATAGAAAATGTGAATGGTTAAACTTTAATATATAATTCTTAATTCACAACTTAAGATCTAGATATGGATATAGATATAATAAATAATTAAGATTGGAAGCTGTTTTAATAATAAGAATAATTAGAGGAGTAATAAATTGTGGAATGTTAAGATAAAACAATATTTGGAGGAATGTCAAATATGGTAATATTTAAAACATTTTTTATTCCTCCTCATTTTGCTTATTAGATTAATTTTCTAATTTTTTCATCTTTTGGATTAGATTTCAGTATCACAGTAAACGTAGACGATTAATAAATTAATAAGACTTATTCAATTTTTGGTTTATCATCATGTGGTAATGGTGATGGTTTAGCTGTAACTTAAGAGACTTTTCTTCATAGTAATAAACATTTTAGCCCTACACTTTAAATTTAAATTTTGTTACCCTTAGCTATTAATGAGCCACCCTTTTTTTGGGGGATTGCTGATTTTGCCTTATTCATCTTTCAATGTCCTTAATAATGTGATTCTTGTAATGATAATGGTATATGTGATAAATGGGCTTAAATGAGTATATATTTTGGGGAAGAAGTTATCTTAGAAAATGAGGGTTGGCTAAAAAATGATGAATTTTTTTAAGGAATCATTAGATGTGGAAGTAATTTTTAACTTATAATTATTTAGATTTCTAAATGTATGGACCTTTTGTTAGTTAAGATGTAATTAAATTTAATTCATTAATTTATAAAGATCATTCAGAAATCAGAATAAGATTTAAATTAATAGCTATTTAACTCTAAAATTTAATCTCTTTGAAAGTATAAGTTAACAATGATGAATAAATATTTTCTACTAATCATTTAATAAATGAGTGGTATTTGATTTGTGGTGAATATTAAACATTTACTGTTATTGATGGATAATTTCCACATAATATTCATTATTTAATGATCTCAATAATTCTACCTGATATTATAGATACAGATGCTTAATTTGGAATTAGAGACTTTGAAATATTTATAGATGCAAAAAACATTGAAATATAAGAATTATGCAATGATGAAAACATCTATGCTTTTGATGGTTGTTTCAATTTCCAATTTGATTGTTGTGAAGGATGTAGTAATTGTGTATAAGGTCAATGTATGGAATGTTATTACACTTGGTAGTATGATTCCTAAAATTATTAATGTCTCTCAATTTGTGGTGATAATATTATTGTTGGATTTGAAGAATGTGATGATATAAATTAATTACCTTATGATGGTTGTTATTAATGTAAATTTTCTTGTCCTTTGAATTGTTTATAATGTAAATTTGGTATATGTTTAATTTGCAATCTTTCATTTTAATTAGTAAATAATATTTGCACCCCTTATAATACAGATTTATTAAATAATTTTAATTAATAATAGTTATTACCTATTAATCATAATTGTTAACCAGAATGTTAAGAATGTTATAATACATATTGTATAAAATGCTTGAAAGGTTGGAATTTGTTTAATTATTAATGTGTTCAAGATTTATTTAATGATGATGATAATACAGAATTTGATGATTCTATTATAGATTAAACGATTTGTGGAGATGGTATAATTTAAGACCTTGAAGAATGTGATGATGGTAATACAGTTCCATTTGATGGATGTTTTGAATGTTAATATTAATGTGAAGAGAATTGTAATGATTGTATTGATGGTAAATGTATATTATCAGAATCAGAAGAGTTATTAAAATTTGATTGTGATTTTGGATTTTATTTGATTGATTAAAAATGTTTATCTATTTGTGGTGATTAAATTATTGCATCAGATGAAAAATGTGATGATAATAATAATGAACCTTATGATGGTTGTTTTTAATGCTAATATTCTTGTTCACTTTATTGTTAAAATTGTATTGAAGGATAATGTATGAAATGTGATATTGGATATTAATTATAAAATAATGGATGTTAAGAATAATGTGGAGATGGAATTAAATCATTAAATGAAGATTGCGATGATGGAAATAAATTTTCTTTAGATGGATGCTCAGAAGAATGTTAAATTGAGAATTTATGGAAATGTAATACAAATGATTAAGAATTGAGCATATGTTACCAATTTGATAATCCAATTATCTAATTACAATATTTAAATATCACATTTAATAAGTAATATATTTTGATGACATCTTCTCAATATATCAAATTAAAAGAAAGTTAAGATAATTTAACATAAAATCTAGAACCCTAGATTATAAATGTTAATAAATAAAATTACATTATAACTTTTGATTTTTAAGATGAGCCAACATTTGAAGAATTCAAATATATATAATATTTATTTACTATTGAACTTCTAAAGTAATTGGAAGTTGATCTAATTTTCTAGGTTTCCTTTAACATTTCATTAATTAATAATTATGATTTATAAATTTTGAATAAAGAACTTAAATTAAAATTGAAGAATCCTATTGTATTAAATCAATAATAAAAGGAAATATCTACAAAAGCTAGTTAATTCAATATTTTGATGCTTATAATTCTTGGTGTTTCAAGTATTATTATTTTATTGTCTGGTAACCCATCAGATTGTTTTGAAGTTTTGGATGCATTGTAATATTAGTCATATCTTAAATTTATTAATGTTGTTTATCCAGAAAATGTGTTTATTTATTTTGAATCTTCTGAATTACTTTCAATTTAACCTTTTTTAATTAAATTTAATTTAGTAGATTTATTTTAATTAATATTTGGTTAAGAATTATTAGAATCATTTGGCAAGTTTTATTTTTATTCAATTAATGCAGATTTACTAATTAATTTTTAAAGTCAAATTTGTTAGATAGTACTTATGTTGTTTTTTGCTATTTTTTATTTTGCATATGTCAAATTTTATTATAAGAAATGTTTTACACCAAGTTAAATGATATATATTAAATAGGTACATTCTAAAATATTAGAAAAAATTGCAGTTATTCTTTATTTAATCAATTAATTTATACTAAGTTTAGGAAAAATGTTTACAATAAATGGATTGATCATATGGTTTTTAGCAAATAGTTGGGATGTTCTTTTCAAAATTATCCTATATTTCTATTCTAAACCTTAAAATTCCTTAAGGACTATATTCTCTATCCCTTTATGTATAGTGATTATGTTATTCCTTTTTACAATCTCAATATCTTTTATAATTAAAACTGCTTAGAATAATAAGTTAAGTAATCTAAAAATATTCAGACATCAAGGTTTGATTGTTATCAAAAAATTATTATTTCTCTTTTTTTTAATTAAAGCATAAGATAACTCAATTCTTTAATGTATTTTAATTGCATTAATAAATACGATATATCTTGCAATAATTATTATAGCCAAACTCTTAAAATATAAAATAGATAAAATTGTAATCTTTTGGTTTGAATTGCCTATTATAATGTTTACACTTTTGAGCATCTCTTATCATCCTGATTTTGTTAAACATATTACAAATAATTAATAACTCCTTATAGGATTTATATAAATAGCAATATTATGTTTTGGATTACTATCACCATTAATTAAGTATGGTTATATTCTTATCAAAAAAGCAAAAGATTATATAATCTAGAAATATAAGAGCATTGTTGCCTAAAAATAAAAACAAATAGCTTTAGAATAAATATTTTTATGATTTGTCAAATTTTATTAATATTTTGTTTATATTTTTTAATTTAATTAAAGCATAATCTTTATTTAAACTATATATTTAATACAATTTAAAAATCAAGTATTTTTATTTATATTAATTAGATCTTATGGATTATCTTGAGAACACTCAAATAAATTAAAATCCTTAAATAATTAAATTCATTAAATATTATTATATTTTTGAACACATCCAAGTTTTTGTAAAAATAATAAGTATATAATAGTTAAAAAAAAATACTAGATAGAATTCAATTTAATAATGGCTAAAAATAATATTAAGGAGGCAGTTCTAGATAATTAAAATTAATATGAAAAATTCAGAATAATTTTAAATTTTAGTAGAAGAATAGGTAAGAATAATAGTATTTTTAATAAGAATAATTTAAATTATTGTGATTAATAATATGTGAAAGTATTAATCTAGAATTATACAGTTCTAATTTGTATGTATAACAACTTTCGAAAATATAATTTAATAATCATTATACAAATTATTTTAACTTATTCTCAATATTTAAAATTTGAACATTAAAACTTAAAATATTACTGAATATATATATAAAAAGTTTATGAACATTACATATAATAAAATTTAAGTTTTTATCTAAATTACTATCTACTTTCTTTGAATCTAGTTCATTTAAGCAAGTTACCCTTTATAAGTGTATTCATACATAGCACTATGAATCTTTCTATATTTTCAAATGCAACTTGCAAAATAGTTTTTATTTTACCTGTCTTACACTAGAATCGTATTTGTATTATTTTTATTTATAAAAAGATCTGGAGAAGTCAATGACTTTATGAATTTTCTAATCTTGCTCTAGTCTTTAAAAGGCTTTTGAATTTAATCATAACATTTAAACATATGGAATTTTTGTTAATTATGCATTCAAATTTTTTGCATACATGGATACACTGTAATTCATTGTTTTATATATTTATATTATTTAGTTATTATGAATCCTTTTTAAAAAGAATATTATTTTTTCAGGTTATTAACAGAGTTTCATTAGTTTCAGAATTAAGATGGTATTTCAAATTCTAAAGATAGTTAATTCAATTTTACTGAAAGAAAATTAACAATTAAAAAAAATATAATGTAGAAAGATGAAAGATTTAACAATCTGTTAGTTTAATTAAAATGAAGAGAATTTTGTTGAATAAAAAATATAAATATTTATATTCTTGGCCAAAACAAATTATTAATAATTCTATTAACATTATATATTTAACATGAAAATTGGTTTTAGGTAAATTCATTAAATTAGTTTATTATTTATAAATGTATGTTTAAACTTGTTATAAATTAGTTTTTAATATCAAATTTTTCTTTTTCTTAGATATATAATTATGAAAATTAAGCATGATAATTAAATTAATATTTGAGTCTTTGTAAATTAATGCTTTTATTTAATTATATGTATCTAAAAGGATGCATTTTCATCTGATAGAGAAGGATGTAGTTATTGATATATACATCGTTTTATGCATGTAATAAAAAATTATAATTAATTTCTATCGAATTTTATTATTATATTTCATATCCAATTGTTCCTAAATGGATAGAGGATTCATTGATGAAGATGAAATGTGTAGTATTAAATCTTTTTATTTAAAAATATTTAATTGATTTATGAAAATAATCGTAAAAGTTTCTATCTTGACTAAAATCATAAAATAACTACTGATTTGTATATATTTAATTTAAAACCAAAATATTTTCATCTGAATAGTCTATTTTGAAGTTTGAATTTATGGAGTTGATAGAAATACCATTTCTAATTGACTTTTACAGTTCAAAAGTAATTTAATTCTTCTATTGATCTAATATTAATTAAAAGATATAAGAATATTATTTACTAAAAATGAATAGTTTAATTATAATTAAATTTCCAATTTATATACATTAAGTTAATTTTAATTCCTAAAAAATAATTTATCTAATAGACAATTCTATTTAAAGTTTTTTATATATTGATAAGGAATATAATAAGATTTTCTAATCTAGATTTATTGAGTAAATAATTAAATCTATATCTATTGGATTTATTTAGTTTTATTATAAAATTAAATATTGATTCTGTGAATTTTCAATATGTATGACATCCAAAACAATCTCAGATAGATTTATTAAAATAAAATTGATATCTTCAAAATATATAAAAGTCTGGATAAATTCATTTTTTAGCTTAATTAAATTTCCTGTTCTTTTTATATCACTTCGATTAATTTCTTATATTTTAAAATTGTTATTAAGATCTGAGATTACATTAATATATTCATCAGAACATTAAATTAATTGAATTTTTAAATTGTTGTCTGATTTAAAAAAGCAAAGATAATAATTCAATTTTATAAAAGTAATAAAAATAATGTTTTCGTTTGAATCATTTAAAATTTCAAAGATTTTATTTTCTAGAATAATTAATGAAAACATTAAAATTTATGTTGCTCTTTCAATTTAATATTATTTAATACAAAAATTAGTTCTATTTAGACTACATAATTAAAATTCTTCTCTTAATCGAAAAGGTCCATTCAAAGTGATTGATGAATTAGTTACAAGAGTTAAACTATTAATTGGACCATAAAAAATATCAGATATGTTTAATTTTATAATTTAATTCTATTAAATTTCAAATTTAGTTAAATTTTAAAGAGAATATAACTTATAGCAATTATTTAAAATCTAAATTTTTAATTAAATACCTCTATCTTCTTATTATGGTGGATATAAATATGTATAATAGAAGGATGATAAGTTATTTAAAAAAATAGTGTTTGTCATCATTTCAACAATAATTTCATTCAAAAGTAAAAGTCTCCATTCTTTATTGAATGAATATAATAGATCACTTTAATGAAATATAAAAAAAGAATCATCAGTTTCTGTAATTTCTTACAATTATAAGGAGGATAGATTACATTCAAATATAGCTATATATAGGTTCTTATTTTACTTCATTAAAACAGCTAAGTGATGAAGTTTTATTTTGTACTTAAATGGATGAACAAATTAATAATCAGAAAAACTATAATTTGATATTTAATGTATTTCATGATCATTAAAATAATAAAGGATGATTGATCTTGTAAGATCATGTATTGCTAATATTAAATAGTCTGAATTTGCTATCGTTTGAACTTTAATTGAAATAATTAATGATTCATCCAATTTTAAAGAATTTTACATTTCCTTAATATTCTACTGCCATAACATTAAGATATTAAATAAACCTTTAATTTTCTGCTTCATAATAAAATAGAATAGGTTCAGATTAATAAAGACTCTTAAGGAGATATTTACTATTAAAATTTGATTGATATTTTGAATAAATTAATGGAGGCAGATTTGAATTATTCATGTAAAGAAACACACTTTAAGAAATTTGTTAAGCCTTTATAATCAAATCATCAAATTCTATTTTGAATTAGAATATTAAATCATTTTATAACTAAATTATTCTCAATAAATTTTTATTGTTTTTACTTACTACAATATAATCTCCATAAGATTCAAGTACTTCAAATTATTCTTTATTAATTGAAATTTATAATTTATTTTCGTTGCAATTATAAATAAAAAACTAAGTTTCATTTTGAAAACATATGAAACCAGGAATTTTTATTTATCTAACTTCAATATTGCCTATGAAATTAAATAGTTATAGCTTTGATAAACAGTAATTTACAAATTTGTCATTATTTCTTATACTTACATTTATGCTAACACCATGATTATATAAATTGAATTAACTATTTTTCAATAAACTTTAACCTTCTGTCTTCCAAATTATTTATTTTAATTTACTTTAACAATTATTTTACATTGTTATTTTCTAAACTAATTTTGTTTAGATATCATCTAATGTGTTATTTTCATAAATTATTCTTAAACACATATATATAGTATTACTTTTAAATAAATCTTTGTTCTAAATTAAAAAGAGATATTTCTTCTTAGGTTAGATAAAACTACTTAATTGAAAATATCTATAAAATTATAGAGTATTTTTTGTTTGATCGAATTAACAGAATAACCTAATAAATTCAAAAAAGTGTAAGGGAGTGTTGTTAATTTAATAAGTTTGATTTAGATGAGCATTCAATAAAATATTTAATTCAGATTAGTTTTATAGAAAAAGAAGATTAGAATGAAAATAGATATTATGATTTTAATATTTTTAATTTAAATTGATCTCCTTGTTTGTTTGATAATTAATTACTTTTTATTTGTTATCTTATAATGGATAAACAATAATTATGATTTAACATGTCTATTATACTATAATCTTTAATATGCGTTTTGTATTTTCAAATGAAAAATAATTAGCAAATTTTTTTTCTAAAGAATTCATATTTACCTAAAGATAAGAATCATTTTCAATCAAATATAAAGCAAATATTAATTGATTATGCATACAAAAGGATACATCATGGATATAAGAGAACCCTTATAAAAAAGTTTCGTTTTCCTTCATTTAAGCATCTAATAGATTTTATACTTCACTATTATTAATCAATAATATTTTCCAATTAGAACATTGATAAAATGCTATAATGTATTAATTTTCTTTCCATTTCATCTATTTTATTTAACAACTATCTTATATTTAATCTTGAACATTATGTTCTAAATTTAAAGTAACATTCCTTCTTAATAGATATAAGGTATATTATTTTAATTTAAATTTACTTAAACAGAATAAATTTAAACTTCCATCTTCATTCATATTCATTTCTTTACAGTCTTCACTGGCTACTATGTTTGTATCAAATCTAAGCTTCTCAATAAAATTAACTTAGTCATTTTAAATAACTAAGTCAAAACTTATACAAACGATAGAATATTAAATTTTACTAAATAAGTAACATAATAGTTTTTCTTGTATTTTCTTTTTTTCATCCAAATTATCAATAATTCTAATCACAATTGGTTATTCTTACAAAGGAATTATGAATGAAGGTTTTATAATTTAAGTTTCAATATGCTGAAGTTTTGAATAATCTTCATTATCTCCTTCTAAAATATAACAACTTGAAATATATGAGTAACAAGTTATAAAAGGTTGATATTTTAAATCTTCACATGATTTTATAGAAGAATTGACATTAAAAATAAGGTAACCTAAAAAAGTCAATAAAATCTCCATATTATACAATATTTAAAATAAATTCTGTTTTTTAATATTTAGATTCAATTTATTAAAAACAAATTATTATTCTATATAAAACTATGTTAAACGTTATTTTTCATCATATTTAGATGAGATTGAGGCTAATTTTAAAAAATAACTGAGATATACTAAATTACATTTGGTTTTAAATCAGAAATGAATGCAATTAATAATAATTAACTTTGAAAATATTTAAAGATATATGTCATCCTTTTTATAGATTTCAAATATTAAGAATGAAAATAAACATATACAGTAAATAAAGAAATATGATTATTATGTTTGGAATTATCAATTAAAACAAATTTAAAATAATATTTTAATCCTAAATCTAAATTATAGAGCAAATGATGACTATTATTGAATTCTATGCATTTATGATTTGATTTCTCTAAATTAAAATAATTAACTTATGAAAAAGTCAAATTTAATAAATTATTATAATTAAAAAAAGAAATGCAATGCTTATTTAATAATAATAAATATTTGAATATCGTAAGGCATTTATAACAATTAAATAATATTTAAATAAACTTTATGATTATTAAGTTAATTTAGATATATTTCAATTATTCATTTTTTAATCCAAGGTTTTTCTAATCACAGCCTCTTATTGTAATTAGTTTTTTGTATCTATAATTAATTTAAATACTAAAGATAAGTCACTTAAATCTTTTAATTCTCTTAATTTTAACAAACAAAAAAGTAACCTTGATACATAAATATAAATAAGATACTGTAAATATTCTAAATAGTAATTACATTTATTTGTGTATGGAAATAAAAATTAGGTTGTTAATAAACTATTTAATTAAGTAAAATAGTTATTATAATCAGCCACAGTTTCTTTAAGTGGAAAGTTTGCTGATAAACCATAATTGTTAATTTGATCTTAAAGTAATTATTTTGCTTTATCTAAATTTTTTATGGCAATTTCAACATTTGCTAAAGTATACACTTATTTTTGAAAAGCTTATTATTTACTTTTCATTGCTTTACTATGTTCATAAAAACAAGAGGAAAGATAATATAACTATAACTTTATCTTAATCATATCAGCATGTATTTATTTTTATTGATTTCTAAGATTACTTAATAAATATACAAATGCTTATCTAGAGAATCTAAAACATTATTCATAAAGGCTGCAATTTAGTAAAATTGATCTGATTAATTAGAGATTTATTGAATCATTGGTACAATATTTTAAGGAGTAGTTTAAATCTTCGCTGGGATAATTTGTGGTTTAATGATTTATTAGATTGGAGTGAATTTATGGTCATTTAATAATGGATGAGCAAATAAATCTATCCAACTGATTCTTTAATTTTCATGATATTTCAACATATTTTCAATTAAAATTGCAATTTCTTCAGTCATCTTAAGAATTAAATTAATATTTACCCCAGAGACAGATCTATCAATTTTAACTGGGTTAGATTCTAATCTTCCTAATTGGAATAACAATTACTAATAATTACTAATTTTGTAAGGTAGGCATCCAAAAATTAGTTCATAACAAACAATTCCAAGCTTTTCATAAAATTTGAAAATACAGAAAAAATGTCTGCAGAATTTGTAAATTTTTATTGACCTAATATTTATTAAGGTGATGCGTATTTTAGAGTACCAGCTTTTGTGAGATCATCATTTTCCTAATAGACTCTGGCTAATCCGAAGTCAGCAATCTAATTTAATAACTATAAATACTTTATATACTCCATTTAAATATAAAATGTTTTAAGGTTTAATATCTCTATGAATAATATTATTATCATAAAGAAATTTATAACCGTTTGTAATTTACTTCAAAATATTAATAACTTCATTAGGAGTGTAATATTTATTTTCCTTTTTTTTTTTTTAGTTGAATTACGCCTGCAAATCGCATTTACATCTTTCTAAAATTAAAATAATTCTTTATTTTTCAATTTCTACATGATAAACTCTTACAATGTTGTTATTATTGTTTCCTTTCTGCATAATTAACTACATTAGACCTATTTCTCTTTCCATCTTAGGGTCTTTTGAATAATTTTCAACTATCTCTAATCTAAATTATAATTACTTTTGCGCATAGTTGTAATTATGTGTTTTATTTATCTTAACAAATATAAACTGTCCCAAATTAACCTGAACCTATCAAGAAATTCATATTGATTTCGTATTAATTGATTACTAATATGTTATCTTAAGACATTTTGTTTTAGAATTTATTATTACCATTGTTTTTTTCTTCTCTAATTTAAATTTAAAGTCAAATTCTATTAAGCATTAAAAATATACAACAATTTTTTTTCATTATATTTCTTTAACTCCATCTTACTATTGATAAAGTTTTATTTTATTAATGATTCATCATAACTATCTACATAATTTTCCTAATAATCTATCTCTTTACTAATACTAATTATGTAGAAAAAACCAATTTTCATAAATATTACATATCGATATTGTTGTTAAATTTAGTACAATCTGAATGTAAATATTGAAAAGAATATCATTATGCAAACAAATATCAGCATTTAAATAGGTAGATGTTATTAGATCTCTTAGTTTACAATGTATTATTGTAATCATACAAATAGGTTTTGAATGATGAGAATAAACTATTATAATAGAGTATAAAATGGTTATTTGTTTGCATTATGAGTTTAATACTTTTGTTTACATATAAGTTCTCCAAAAGTTATCAAAAAAAAATTGATTTAATATACTTTTATTTTTTGAGGCATTAATTCAACACCTATTTTACTATAATCAATATGAATTAGAATTACAAAACTTTACTTCATTACTAAAATATCAGTTTAGCAGCTATGAAACATAAGTGAATGAAAATTACAAATTTTGATTTAAAAATTAAAAAGTAATCCACAAAATGTATTAATTTCTTAATTAAGAGTCAGAATTTAACACATAATATTTCTTCATTCATTCATTTCAATATATTATTTAATTATTAATAAAACATAGATATTAGAGTTCATTACATTAAAAATTCTAATAATTAATAAAAAAAGATTGAATTGAAATTTTTATGCCAACCAAAAGTGTTGCTTTAAATACATTGGTATTCAAATCAGAACTCATCTTACTAATCCTCTGATTTATTAATGGTATAAAAAAGAATCAATAATCATCAAGCTAACAATATCAAAATATCTTAACATAGTGATTTCGCTAAAATCTTCAATTTAAAAAGAAAATAGGATCACTTATAATAATCTAAAACAATCTTCCCTTTATAAAATATAATTTAAAACTCTTTAAGAAAAACTTAGTTAAAATAACTCTAGGGATGAAATTTATGAAGAAGAAATCTTATCAAATTGTGACCAAAAAACAAATACAAATATGATGTTCATAAAACAGATCACACACTTTTATAGGAGAAAAAAAGATGAAGCATGATTGAATTATTAGATAATTTCATTTGGAATTAGAGTGAGACACTCTCTAGTAATTTCAGAAGTATCAGTCCAAAATGTCTCATACTTAACAGAACTTGGAATATATGATAATTCTATAGTGATTTATTAAAATAACTAACAAATTTATGGAGATATAATTTATAGCAAAAAGATGTTTATTATTAAGAATTCATATAAAAAGAAGGAGGAATAATTTCATATTCTTAGATGATTAAGATATTTAAAATTTGAAGATGCTGCTTATGGTAAACATCTCAAAAAATTAAGATAACTTTAAATAGATTAGAATTCCAACTGTAACCTTTTCCCATTGACATTGCTGAAATTAAATTTCTAAATTCTTTTATGAAGTATAGATCATTTTCCAGCAATTCAGACTCCTTTATAAAGAAAGAAATTCCTTTATTTATTAACATTTGGTCTAATTACACTATTGAAACAAATAAATTATGATTTGGATTGAGGTTAATTCAATTTAATAAAGTATTATTAAATGTTCATTTCTATAAATTATTAAAACTCAGGTTTCTAAAAATTGTAATATAATTTAACTTTCAAAAAAAACTAAATCAAATAGGTTTTATAAATATCATAAACTCTGATTACAAAAGATGATGAGGAATTTTTAGTTTTATTTATTTTTATAACATAGAATTGATATATCCTTTATAATATTCTGAGCTAAAATATATCTTGGAAGAAAGAACTTTAATATGTGAGAACCGGCACACAAATATGTATTCTACAAGTCCACTTACTAATGAAATATTTTACTTCAACATGATTTACCTTAAATATTCCAAAATTAAATAATATTTATCAGATAATTCTAATCATTATTTGAATCCTATATTAGAAATGTAACATAAATAATTTTTATTATCCTAATAAAATTATGAAGTACCATAACAAAAAAAAAATCTTAATAAAAATGATAAAATACAATGAAATCCATTAAATTTTAGAAATTAGATTGTTTATAATGGTTTTGAATGACGCTATTTTTGAATATCGGAGGATAACTTTAAACCTTACCAAATGAATATATTATACTATTACTCAACTGTTTAACAGAGAATAAAATATTTTGTCAAATAATATTTAAATAAGAATAAAATCATCTTCAAGGTTATTTTTGTAACATTTCTAAAGGTTCCAATAAGGCAAAGTCTTTTTCAATATCTAAAGAATTAGCTGGCTTAATGGTTTATCTATTTGACTCTTTACTATTTTAATGATCCATATAGTGATTAGACAATTTTCCTCCCAATGAATGACTCTGTTATAGAATTTAATCTCCAAATTATTGTTAAATAATAAATTGTATTCTTGAAATTTCATATAAAATGTTATCTAGTCTGCATTTTTCCTTAGCTCTTTTAATAAAGGTTTTATATTTATATTTAACTTTTTCATGTTAATTATTGTTACTATTTTCTGGATTATCCGACATTACAATTTGATTTAACAAGTTAAACTTAATCTTTTTCATTTCTGGATAATACATAATAACTATATCATGTAGTAATTCATTTTCCAATAACATTCTATTATAATAAATTGCAATATATTTTAATAAAAATATTACTTACACAATTGATCCAACTTAAGCTAGAATTTAACCTAACTTTGGCATTGTTATACTTTCTGTAACAGCAATATTATCTATTCTAAATAAATAACAGCCATAACTCTTGAATTCATATGTCTAATTTGACAATAAACTAACCACTTAAGAAGTGAAAAAATGATCAACTTGTTAATGAATTAACTCATAATTGTTTAAAAATTAGTAATTTTGATAATTAGTAAATAATATTCCATCGTCAATAATAGATTCTTATTACTTAAGCATAACTTATGAATATAAAGGTTTAGAAGGTTCTAAAGCTGTATAATATTATTTTTTTATTTATTCTAATTTACCTGTAGAATATTAAAATTAATTTAAATAAATAGTTAAGAATAAAAACCCATGAAATTTAGATAAATACTCTGTTATTACATTTTCATCAGCACAATAACTTCCAGAAACAGTAGTTAAATTAGAACAGCCTTCTAAAACAAGCAATAATTATGTCATATCCAAGTTGTCATCATTTTCAGTATTTCCATTGTTTAAAACAATAGTGCCATCATTTATAAATATTTTAGATGGCTTATCTTTACTACTAAATAATGGTATTGGTTTATCAACTATAGTTGAATTTATAATTCGATATAATTTAGGAGTGATGATATTATTTTCTTTTTTAAACGGATCTACACCACCCAAAAAATCTTAAAATTCTAATTGAATAATAGAGTCTGACAACTAATATTCTGCATATGATATAGTTTATTGCTTAAAACTCACAACAGGAGGTATTTAATGATCAATCCATAATATGAATACATATAAAAAATATGTTAAACTAAGGCTTCCAATCAAAAAAGTAACTAATCCACCAAGCCTACTTTAATATAAAGAAGTCTTAGCATTAGTTAAAAGACTTATTGGAACCCCAAAAATATCAAATTTATCAATAGTATTCAGTATTTTGTTCATTTAATTAAATAATAAATGACTGAAAGATTAATATCGAAATATAAATATTTATTTTTTGACTTATAAGTTTTAAACTATAATATCAATTTTTAATTCTGGAATTTTCAATAGATTGATAACTTATATCAAAAAAAATTAATTCAAATATTGTTATTTATACTTTGATATTTTTGGATGTCATTCATTTATTTTATGAAAATTAATCTAGACACTATTAATACTTTATTTATATAATTGCTTCATTATCAATTGATATAAATGTCAAGAATTATTTTTATAATAGAAACGATAATGATAATTATCAATTAGCTTTTTTTTTTATGGATATTGATGATAGAATTACATACGAAATGAAAAAGAATAACTGAATAAATTATAAATCTAACTCTTTTATTATAGGGATGGCAGATGCAGCTAAAAATTATTGTAGAGCTTGTTTTACAATTGCAAAAGAAATAATTAATACAAGTTAGATAATATAAGAAAATAAGTGGAAAAAGTTAACAAACTGGATTAATTCATTATTACTTCTGCCTTAAGTGGTGGAACAAAATCAGGTTATACTTCTTCGCTTATGGAAAACTTATTTGTTGAATATGCAGTTTAGGCTAAATAAATGCATTCTTAATATATCTTTCTTAGGAATTATCCAATAATAAAGTGGATATCAATAATGCTGTGTTAACTATTCATATGACTTAAAAATATTGTGACTCTGTTGTAATGCTTGATAATCAATCTATGTATAAATCTGTAGATTCACAGATTAGTTTGGATTATGAAAAACACTGAAAATAAGTTTCCATAAAATATGAAATATCACTTGATTATTTCACAAAGCTTATAGAAGAATAAAAAAATATAAAGTATCATAAATATTTTTTGTTAAATTAAATACTTACATGATACTTCTTGTATAGGAGAGTTGATTAAATAGCCTTAGTTATTATTTAATGATTTTACCAAAGTGATATAAATAAGAATCTTTGTACTCTAAATGTTTGAATCTGTTTTTCGAAGTTTCTCAAAGCAATTCATTAGAATTCCAGTCTCTTGAATACTACGAAATCCATCGTAGCAGAATAATTCTCATTTAGATAAGATACCAGTCTCTTAAGCTCAACCAGATCATTGGACATTACCTTCTAATTATTAATTAATTAATTTACTCTATCTTCGTCATAATAAATTCTGAGATTATTTAGAATATCTAAATATATAACTAAAATCTATTCTTTTAGATTTTCAATAAATTGTAATGCTCATTGAAATGTTCCCCTTATAGCAGCATTCCAAATTCTTATTATCGGCTTTATAATGTAAATAGTGTGAAATAAAATCACAGAGTTTCTTCGATTTTTTTAAAGCAATGATGATTTAGATGTTTTAGTAGCATTTGAAAAATTTAAGTTTAAAAATGCTCTAGTAATGAATGAATATAATTCCATTTATTTTTTAGTTATAATATATATTCAAACATGTCTTTTGGCTTATTTCTAAAAAAAATCAAGTATTTGTTTAACACTAGTCTTAAGAATAAGTACTCCTTAGTAGTATTAATAAATATTTGTAATGGTTTATGATGATGATGAATACTAATAGAATTTGTCAAATTTGATTTTATATTTCCATATGAAACATTATTAGAAACTTTATCATACAAAAAATTATAAGCTTCGATAGAGGGATTCTTCTATTAAATTTACTTACAGAAATAAATTATTATTACAGTATGTGCGTTTAACCAAAAAAAGATGGTGTATTTAACCTCTCTAAATGTTTCAAGATTCATTTCTTTTATGATATTCAAAATGGATATAATTTTAAATATAGATTAAAGTTATAGAATATTGATAGTATTATTGAAGGGCTGATTTATAAAAAATATAAGAAAAATTATAAAATGAAATTTAAACAAAAGTTATTCTTAAGGAAGATTAACAATACTTTTATTTATTCTTTTCTACATCTTTATCTAGATTCTCAAGCAATCTTCTATAGACTATATACGAAAAGACGAAATGCTATCTAAAAATTAATAATTTCCTAACTTAATAAAAAAGTAACAAATAATTTTCAATTCTGCCTATCATAATTTAATAGCAGTTTTCTATATTTTTCCAAGGAGATGAAATAAATTTATTTATATTGAAAGAATAACAAAATTTATATAAAAATTAAATAATTCACTTATTAAAATTTAATCTAAAAATTTAGTTTTAATATGCAAATTATAATTTAACTACTTATCCCTCTTAATATCATTGTAAAAGCTGTTTGTAAAAGTTAATAATTTTTCTTCCTGAATATTTCTTCCATTATCTCAAGGTGGTTATCATTAATTAAAAGGGAAAATCATTTTAATTTTAGATTTTATATTAATTATAATGGTACAAATTATCTCATTTCTCAAAATTTTATCTCTAAAATTGATAATCTATGAAAATTGTGTAACTGATGATATAACGGATTACAAATATACAGATTTTTCAATAGTTGGAATAAGTAATGCAACTTAAGAAAGGCGTTTATTGGACCTTAAGAATTTTAAAAATCATTGACCAAAACGTTTACAAATATTCCCCCAAACAATAATTAGAATTTGGAAATTAGAAAATTGAGTTGTAGATGGATTTTAAATATATGAAAATAACGAATTAATAGAAAATTTTTTGCTGGATTGCTTCGAAGGTACAAAGATATGTAGAAACGAAATTTGGGTTGATCTATTTAGGCCAATTTCATTAAAAATTTTAGATAGCAAGAACTGATTTAACTATAAAATTAAGAGATTATATAAATTCTAAAAAAATCAGGATGATATAAATTAAATGACTTTTAGAATCATGGGGATTTAGAGATTATATTTTAAGACTTACTGTACCTTGTGTTAATTTTTATAGTGAATGTAATTATATTGGAACATTATTTTAAATTTGCCAAAGAGAGTAATCAAAATTGCAAAAAGAAATTCCTTTCGAAATCAAATCAATCCTTATGGGTCCTAATATAATTGTTTAATTAAAAGGATCAAATTACTATGCAGGAGTTCAGTTTCTCATAGCCTTGTTTGAATAGTTATTAAGTATTGATTTAGTAATGATTTTTAGTTTCCAAAAGTAGTCTAATAGGAATGATCATTTATAATAGGAATGAATAATAATAATGAAAAGTTTATACAATTAAATCAATTCAATGAAAATAACTATTTTTTTCTATCATTGATATTTGTCTTAAAAGCTTTTTTGCATATCAGAGTTCTCTTCTTGAAAAATTACATATAATATACTTTTAAAATATTATGAGTAAGCTCAAATTATATCTATTCAATAACCTAATTTTCATCTCTATAACAATCCTAAATTTAATTTATATTTATATAGTAATTAAAAATCAATAATTTTCAACTTATACCTTTTAGCTTAGGTTTTTTCTATTAAATTGCCCTTAGATTATTAAGATAATCAATCAAAACGAGAATTTGTGAGCACAATTTTACCATTTTCCTATTTTTAACTTAATTATACTAAAACTACTTAGACCTCCAAATTAGAGGATAGCATGAATTTAAAAAGGAAAATATAAAGAAGAATTTCAAATCACATTTATAGATTCAAAATTTCTTTAAAATAAATTGTATCCTCAAAAGATTTAGTTGAATCGATACCCTAACAGAATTAATGTTGAAAAGGGATCTAAATAATTGACTAAATATAAGTTAATCACTAAAAATTTTCAACTATTAGTGATTCATCAAAATTATTTTCAGATTTTCAAAAATAAAGAGATGAAAGATTAAAGAATTCTTCAATAAAAATCCTTTTGATAGGTAAACTGAATTAGATTTAGGGAAAGTTTCTTTGAAAAAAATATTAAAGAATAGATTAAAGAAAAAAATGTGGCTTTAGAAATCTAAAAAAAGAGGAATGTTTTTGTAAATATTCATGCAAAACACATATAAGACAAGTTACCTGGTTAAATTAATAACTAAAGAAGAAAACCTTATTTATTTATAGTATGTAAATAACCAATCAATACGAAAAATCTTTAATCTCATAAAAGAAAAAAATGAATATAATATCTATGTTCAATACTTAATTCGAAAATATTTTAGAAAAAAAATAAAAGGATAAAAATAAAATAATTATATTATAATCTTGAATAAATAATTTCAAAGAGAAGTTAATTGTTATTAACTTAAATACTGTTACTATTAGGAAGGCTAATAAATTGTTGGGTGGAACTTACAATCTAAAGGAATAAAAAGTAGGAATGTGGAGAGATTCATATGATAATTATCCAGAGTATTTATAAATATTTTAGGCAAAAGAAAATGATTGAAGAGGGATTTTGTTAATAGGTGTAAAAGATTAGTTTTTCTGGAATTTAAAATGGGATAACTAATAATTTGTAAAAATATAAGGGAGAAGGTTCATATGGATAATATATGCAAATTGAAAAATTAATAGATATATATGATGGGTTTTATAATGATAAATGATAAAAAAATCACTAATATTGATGAATATAAAAACAGAAAAGGTTGGTAGATGGGATATTGCATTTTCTGGATTATACGCGGAAATAAATAAAATTATGTACATTATTAGTGGAGGTGAAGATATTAAGATTAGAAAATGGGTTTTGTTATTACAGAGTAGGAAAATAGAGAAAAAGATCTTTAAAAGATGAGATGATTAGATTATGTGATTAAGGTTGGGAAAGATTGTGAGATACCAATTCATTAAAAAAAACTCTAATTAGTAGAAATGAACAAAAGGAAATTACATTATGGTAATAAGAGAAAAATTAGTAAACATTTCAATCATAGATACTAATTAAAGAATACTATTTTAATTTTATTGTATAATTACGAGGTAAATTTGTTGAATATTCTAACAAATGTATTATTCAACATAAATAATTGTTCTATATTGATCTCTGGCAATTTTGAAAGTGTGAATAAAAGTAAATAATTATGATTTTACAACATGTAAAACAATTATTAGCTATCCAATAGAGAAAAGTTATCCGCTTCATAGAAAAATGTCCAACTATATGATCAAAATATCAATGCTTATTTTTTGGAGATATTATTATCAAAGAAGAACTATATTAAAATTATATAAAAAATTAAAGGTAGAGATTTAAACTGATATCCACCTAAAAGATTTTTATAGAATTATTGTTTCATTAGATTATGGAATTGATTTATTTTAGATATAAAATTAGTCTTAAGTCTAAAAACAAAGAGCATATTGAAATTAAAGGAAATTAAAAAGAAATTATAGATACTTTAATTGCTAAAAAATAATTAGCAATTTTTTATTATGGAATAATATATATCTTTTTGATAAATAATTGATAGAAATAAGTCAAGAAGTATAATAATAACAAGAACTAGTTTAGATCTAATTATTTAAAATCACAAAAAATAAGTTTTAACAACAATTAAAAAAACAAAATAATATATAAATGATTAAATTACTTCTTATAATCTTTTTTTTTGGGATAAATCTATATTTTTATTTTAATAAATAAATGAAAATTTGATAATTATTTAATAAAGAAATGAGAATATCTTATAATTTAAGTTTTATTTCATAAATTGATGTTAGAATTCATTAAAGTTAGATAGCGGAATCAAAACAGTTTGTTATAAACAATTTTTTTTCAGATCATAATCATAGGATCCTTGTCTTGATTATAAAACAACCATTAAGATAATATTTGAAGGTTCCTCTTTTATCAACTAGAAAAGTAATAAAGCTAATTAAGAGTTTATTATTGACAAAAATATGCTTCATGCTATATAGGAAGTAATGTCTAAAGTGATGATTTTCTTGCGGAATATTTTGTAAGTTAGAGAAGCAACTATTTAATTATAAATTAATTATTTTTTCATGAACCAGTATTTTAAGATTTTTGGCAATCGCTATTGAAACAGATATGAATTTTTGAAAAGCATTTTAGAATAAGAAGTATTTAAAAAAATAAAGAATTGATTCACATGTAGAAATAACTATTTTGGCGAGATCTTTCCACATTTTGAAATATATTGAAGGTAGGAAATATAAAAAAGGTTTAAAAATATAGAACAAAAAGAAACTTAAGTACTAATCAGCTAAAATGAAGGATTAATTATAATAAGTTAAATTTGTTTGAATAATTTTGGATAATATCATGGATATCTCATAAATTATGGATATCGGTCTTACTTTTTAAGAGAAATAAGTAAAGATCTAAAGTCAATTAGATCTTCTATTGATTAAGTACTTTCAAGTATGAAAATGAGGTAAGAAAAGTATTAATGAATTCTTTATTTCATATTCATTGAAATTAAAATATAATATAGAATCTCAAAATTATCATTATGATAAGATTTAAATTATAGAATTTTAAGATGCTTTCTTAGCGGAAATATGAAAAGAATCATGATTTTCGAAAGCTATGATGAAATGAAATTTGACTGCATTTAATCTAATAAGTTTTAAAAAAATAGATTGGTGTTGGATTTCTAAAATTTGAAATTCCAATAGAATTATAAATGCCAAAGTTGAATTTAGTTCTATTATTAAGAACACTACTTTAAATTATACAAATAGTTAGAAAGATGGAAAAATAATATGAGGTAGTGAATAAGGTGCAGTTAAAATTTGTAAGTCTAAGGTGATGAAGAAACAAAAGCTTTTAAATTTCGAATATTTATCAAGTTATAATGCTTCATACCCTGGATAATTAACTATTTTTGCATACTTTACTATTAGATCCAATTAAATATTAAGTTTTAATTACTTTTCATTTTGGAGAAATTAAATCCACACTAGTTATGAATATACGAATATTAAGCTATATCCTTATGGTTAATGTATTGTTACATAAAATAAGAGTGCTGACAACTACATTTAGAAAACAAAGCTATTATAATTTAAATCCTACTCTTAAATTATTAATTACAATTGCCATCATTCAAAAGCCATAGAAGATCAGAAAATCTAAATATTTATCAGGAAATGTTAAGATTACAAAGTAATTACAAAAATTACCATTTACAGCCTATACATTAGCATTTCTTAATGATAATTAAGTACTAACGGTAAGAGTAGACCATTATAAAATTAATTTTTGGAATTAAAATACTATCAATAAATTTGAGTTTCTATTTTCTGTAACAATCAAAGGTGTTTTCAGCAAACGACTTTAATCTAATGTTAATGAATACTTGATTTGCAAAACTAAGATTATTGTTATCTAAATAAAATTAAAAAGGAATAGTGTATTCAAATTGTTCTGAATGAAGGTAAGCTTAAATGAGAATAGCTAAAGAATTTAGATGATTGTAGCAACAATGTTTATATTAAAAAGAAGTATTTTATGCTTTATATTGTATTTGAGATTAATGTAACCAAATGGAACATAAAGATTAAGCATCCTAATATATAATGGCCATCCAAATCTATCCTAAGAATTCAGTATTCTATTTTATCGAATTAATCAATTTTTATACAGAATTGGAGCTCAATTTGATTAATTCAGAAATCAAGAGAAAGCACTTATAGATTACAACAAGGGTATTCTATTTGCTCCTAATGATAATTAAATCTACTATAAAAAAGGTAATCAATAAATTGTATTGAGTAAGAATTCTTCTTAAATATGTTAGAAGTGAAGAATAGGGAATAATTAATTTTAATAAAGCAATCCAATCAGATACTTTGAACTCATAATTTATTATAATAGAGGTAAATTAATTAATTATTATGAATAGTCTAAAGAACAATATTCCAGTTGGGAAATATATGAATTTAGTTAAGATTTCTATCACAATCAAGGAGTCAACCAATTTTTTAACAATATAAGCTTTTAAATGTTTAAAAAATTTTTATTAGGCTAGGCTTTATTAAAAATTGATCTGAGTATTTCAATTTTTCTAGGATTTCTTTAAAAAAAAAAAAGTTGTAAATGAAAATGTTATGAGTAATATAAACATGCAATTAGAAGTAATACTAAATTGAATAAAACAGGTAGCTTTTATCTCCCTGTCCTTTCAAATGATAGAGGCAAGACAAACGTTTTAGTCCTCAGATTCTGTCACCCATATTTAGCGCATGCCTTAATATTGAGTTATTTCGCTTCCTTGAAGATGAAAAAAATTATTTTGTTTATCTCAATTCTAAACGATTAAAAAAATATACTTTAACAGATTTTGAATTGTTTTTTAATATGAGAATGATTTGATTATTAATTAAAATATCTTATTCTAAATAAATCTTTTTAAGAATCTGCTTAATTGTTTAAACAAGCCTAAAAAGTAATTACTCAACCTTCTAAAATCACCATAAATAAATTTTGAATCTACTTTTAATTATCTTGAATATCAAGTAGTAAATATTCATTTTGGGGGCATGAAAAGAGGTGTTTTTATAAATGTCTAATTATCAGCCAAGATATAATATTTTATGTTTATGAATGGATTATGTCTATTCGAGATAATGTACTGCTGTTATTGTCTAAATTGTTGAAAAATAGAATTTTCAAAGATCTATATCTTATTAATATAATTAAATTTTGATATCTATATCAGCTGGTTATTAATTATTAATTGAATTTATTGAGGTTGATTATTTCTTTATTTAAAGTTTTAAGGCATTAACAATAAAGATGTTAAGGAAATACAATAATTATTTTTTCAAAACCCAAAGACCGAGTAAACAACACTTTTCAGCATAGCATGCTCCATATTTGAGTTCTTCTTGTATTAATTACAATTTTATCTTATCCACATATAAATTGACTTATTTAATCAGTTAAGATAAATAATGATTTTAAGAAAATTTCAATATAAAAAATTAAGACACCCTTAATAAGAATAAAATTAATTAATTTAAAAATTAATTTAATACATGATTGAAAGGAAATAATAAGCATTTTGGTTGATTAGTAAAAAGTGAAAATAAAAATTAAAGTCATTATTAAAGAAAACACTATTCAGTTCTTTATGTGATTTTGTTTTCAATTATTATTATATATAATTAATAAATAATAATTACTATAAAGCAATTTTAATAAATTTTAGAAATCAATAATATTAAAATAATTAAATTTAACTCATTAGTGTGATTCAAATTTAAATCAAATCAGTTTTTAATTGGTTCTAAATAATATGGATGAGACCCATTAGGAATTAAAAATTACTATTTCAGAGTTAAGTTGTTCAGTTTCACAAATACTCTATAATTAAGTAAAAGAAGAGTTTAAATTATATGAAATATATATACAAAATTGATGCTTAGATAGACATCTGAATTTTCTTTTCATGATTAAAATAATTTGGAAAGTCTTTAATTAAAATTCAATCATTATTACTTCTCTTTTAGACATCATTAATTATTTCTTCACTAAAATTTGTAGATGAGGGGGTTTTCTAACTTTTAATTGTTATATAAATATATTTTGATTTTATCTTCAAATAAACAGAAATAAAGAATATAGATGATCATATAAATAGGTTAGTGAAATTAATAATCTAAATTTGAACCCTAATTTATTTTAAACTTGATGAATAAGTAATAAAAATGGTGTTAGTTTTTTCTAGAAATATTATTTGGATTTTTATTGCTTTTTCGTGCTAAATACAAGATTGGAGAAAAACAGATTTCCTAAATTTATAATATAATTTAATAATATCTAATCTTGTAACTTTTTATTGATTTTTTTTAATTTCACAAATGTAAACTTCTATCATAAACCTAAGTTAGAGTTTTATTACAAAATTTAATGATTTTATACCAAATGATAAATGAAAATATCACAAAGGAATTAAGCCAGTAAAAAAAAATAATTCATATGATTTCATCCAATATCTTCATCTGATTCCCAAATTTATTTGAATCTTTAATTGCCTTAATGCAATTCAAGGAGAATTTCATTTTATGCATGCAGACTAATTTGATTTTATTAAAGAACTTAATTTGCCAAATTAGGGCTTTACAGGTGACACTAGGCCTTTATATAAAAAATAATACCCTCTGCTTAAATAGTTGAACATTTTTATCACCATTTTAATAAGTATCAAATGTTTCCTACTTTGGTTAGTTGTATATATTTCCCCCATTTTCTTTTTTTCAAAATAGAGGATCTAACTCTTTATTTTCTCTGCTCTACTAAAGATCTCTATGTCTCGTGGGAGAATTAAAGATAACCCTTGGTAGTGTTTTAATATCTTACCAAAAATATTGCCTTCAATATATTGGTCACTAAAATGTATATGCAGCATAATTCATTAATAATCTATTTTTTAAGTTTCCTTATAAAGTCTTAAATAATCAAGTATTTCAACTTAATATTTTGTCTTATATTTTAAGTAATTTTATAACAAATGTAAAACTCCAAATAATTCATTGAGTCCCAAATATCATTCCTCAAATGATTTAATCACATAACTATTGACTAAGTTGAAATTGAAATAATTATAATTTTAATAAAAATTTTTTAATTTGAAGTTAATCAAATTATAAAATCTTTCTTTAAACCTACTTAATATTTCAGTATAGTTATAGAATTATCGAATTTTCTTAGATACTAGTGAAATTATGTGTTAAGGGCGATTGTTATGTTACATGAATATTTCTTTAGCCAGACCATAAACTAAAATGAGAGTTGATCCTATTCATTTTTTTTATTTGACAATATAAATAATTGATTTTTTACTGCTTTATTAATATATTTAATTCATTTATTTGATAATTTTCAAGATATAAATGATTAAATTGTTGAATAAATTGATTTCAAATATCTAGCTTGAAACTAAAATTAAATAATTAATATAATTGATTCTTAAGCAAGTGAAATGATGTTCTTTTGTATTTAATTTATAAAAATATATGAATATAAAAACGATAAATTTAATTTAATATATATATTTAATTAATAATTTTTAATAGAAAATGGAATAGTAGGATATGAAAATGTGTTAAAAACATAAATTAGAAATAATTTTAGTTGATTTGAATAAAAAGAAAATGAATTAAATTGATGAAACAAAGAATATGATTAAAGAAATGAAAATAAATGAATAAAATCAAATAATTAAAGATAATAAAAAGAGATTAGATAATTTTAATGGAATTGAATAAATATTAAGAGAACTTAAATAAAATATAGATAGTATATTTGATAAAATATTTAATAATATAAAATGTTAATTGAATTAGATATAAAAAGATATAGGAAATATAGAATAATAATAAATTATATATAATTTTGAAAATGATATTGAAAGATTATCTTAATATTAAGAATAATAAATAAATGAATAATAAATTAAATTAATTGAAAATGATCATAAATTTATTGAATAAATTCAAAAATAATTAGAATCTATTATAAATTCTGAATAATATAATAAATTAATGAATAATTAAAATATTATAATAAATTCATAATTAGAATAAGATTTAATAAATAATATATAAAATAATGAAATAATTAAAATATAAGATTATGTATATATATNTCACATAACTATTGACCAAGTTGAAATTGATATAATAATAATTTTTATAACAATTTTGTAATTTGAAGTTAATCGAATTATGAAATCTTTCTTTAAACCTACTTAATATTTCAATATAGTTATAGAATTATCGAATTTTCTTAGAGATATGTATACTAGTGAAATTATGTGTTAAGGGCAATTGTTATGTTGCATGACTATTTCTTTAGCCAGACCATAAACTAAAATGAGAGTTGATCCTATTCATTTTTTATATTCGACAATATCAATAATTGATTTTTTACTACTTTATTAATATATTTGATTCATCTATTTGATAATTTTCAAGATATAAATGATTAAATTGTTGAATAAATTAATTTTAAATGCCTAGCTTGAAACTATAATTATATAATTAATATCATTGATTCTTAAGCAAGTGAAATGATATTCTTTGTATTTAATTTATAAAAATATATGAATATAAAAACGATAAATTTAATTTAATATATATATTTAATTAATAATTTTTAATAGAAAATGGAATAGTAGGATATGAAAATGTGTTAAAAACATAAATTAGAAATAATTTTAGTTGATTTAGAAAGATAGATAGCTTAAGAAGATAGATGTTTATGTGTAAGATGTATAATAGAAAAAATGAATAAAAAGAAAATGAATTAAATTGATGAAACAAAGAATATGATTAAAGAAATGAAAATAAATGAATAAAATCAAATAATTAAAGATAATAAAAAGAGATTAGATAATTTTAATGGAATTGAATAAATATTAAGAGAACTTAAATAAAATATAGATAGTATATTTGATAAAATATTTAATAATATAAAATGTTAATTGAATTAGATATAAAAAGATATAGGAAATATAGAATAATAATAAATTATATATAATTTTGAAAATGATATTGAAAGATTATCTTAATATTAAGAATAATAAATAAATGAATAATAAATTAAATTAATTGAAAATGATCATAAATTTATTGAATAAATTCAAAAATAATTAGAATCTATTATAAATTCTGAATAATATAATAAATTAATGAATAATTAAAATATTATAATAAATTCATAATTAGAATAAGATTTAATAAATAATATATAAAATAATGAAATAATTAAAATATAAGATTATGTATATATATTATTATATATAAATAGAAAACACCTGCATTAAAATTTATTTGTTAAGAACACACAAAAGAAATAATAATGTTTAATTTAAATTCAAATTGTAATTAATAACCAAGAATGGCATGTGTTAAATGTATTTAATAATATCCAGCATAATATACACCTTTAGAAGATGTAAATATTTAATGGGATTAATATTAAAAGAGAAATTAAACTAATTTAAATGAAATCTAAAATACAAGAAATTCAATTTAATAGAAAATATTTAAAATGATTTAAGATATTAAATAATAAAATAATTAAATATTTGATGAATTAATATAATCTTTAAATAATTAATAATAATCAATAGAATAAATGAATGAAAATCAAATAAATAATAAATCAATTAATTAATTAACATTAAATTAAATAAATGAAATAATTAATTAATTAAGTTAAATAGATAAATTTAAAACATTTAAAGATTATTAAATTAATATTGATAAAATTGATAAAATATTTTATTCAGATTTAAAATCTAGATTTGAACATCTAATATAATATTAATTAATAAATATTTAATAATTTAATTAAATAATTATTAATGATAATAAAGTAATTAATTCAATTGATAATTTATTATTATCTAATTAAAATAAACATGAAGATAATTTATAAGAATCTACTGATATTAATTAAATAATAGAATAAATTAGATAATTTATGTATAAATCATTTAATTTTGAATTTTCATAAAGAATATTCATTGAAAATATAGATTAATATATAAAACTTAAAGAAGAGATATAGAATTTATAATAAATTTTAAGTAATAAATTTGAAAAGTCTTAAGAATTATAAAATATATTAAATGAATTTAATAATTATATAAATAAATTCAATTAAGATTATATCTAATTTTAATAATTTTTAGAAATCAATTAAAAATTGAATGAAATTTAATAATTAAAAGAATAAATTCAATTTATTTAAAAAGAGAAATAAGAATAATAAACTATATTTGAGAATGATTTTTAAAAAATGAAAGAATCAATTGAATAAATTAATAAAGATAATTTAGAATAAAAGAATAAATTAGATTAATAAATAAAAGGAAAAGATTAAGAAATAAAGAAATTGAATGAATAAATTGAATAAATTAATAAAGATAATTTAGAATAAAAGAATAAATTAGATTAATAAATAAAAGGAAAAGATGAAGATATAAAGAAATTGAATGAATCAATTGAATAAATTAATAAAGATAATTTAGAATAAAAGAATAAATTAGATTAATAAATCAAAGGAAAAGATTAAGAAATAAAGAAATTGAATGAATAAATTGAATAAAGTAATAAAAATTATAAAAATTTAGAATAGAATGTAAATAACTTGGTCCCTACTTATAAAACATTGTTTCAAATAGTAGTATTTTATCTATATTATTTATATTATAGTCATCATAATTTCAGAAGCAATTGACATTTTCATAAACACATAAATATTCAAGTTGTGAAGTAACATAAAATGGAAAAATGGTTTAAAATGGGAGTTATTGTTTGTGTGATTAAGTCATTCCTAAAAATGGAGTCACATCATTTGCATTCAAAATCATTTAATTAAATGAGAGGTGTTTTATTGGTATTGGGATGAGAGAGATAATATAAAAAAATAATTATTCTGGAGGTGTTAGTAATGGGTATGGGTATTAATTAAATATTATATACTATTAGATCATATACTATAACATAAAATAAATAGTGTTATTCACACCATGAAAAGGATAAAGATGGTAAATAATTATCATTTGATTTTGCAATTAATGATATAATAATAGTTGAAGTTGACATTTAAAATAAAAATATAAAATGGATCAAAGCAAATACAAATCAATCATTTGTAATTATAATAATACTATTACATAATAGAGTCTTTAAATAGATACAACATATGATTTATATCCATGTTTATGGGTATAAAATAATAAAGTATAAATATTAGAATAATTAATATGATATTATTATTATTATTCATTTAGTATAATTTTAAATAATATATATAATATATTAAAGAAAAGAAAAGAATATAATGACATCATATAAGAGCTATTCAATTAATTCAATTATGAGGATATCTAAAAATTAATATAAATCTAATAATTAATTATTTTAAGCTGAATTAAAGCTACTTTATAACAAATATAAATATGTACAGCAAACTATTTAAATACTTAAAAAATAATTTACAAATAATAAAATTGCTTCTTTGCTAATCTTTCTGCAAGGCCCAATTAAGAGATTTAAACTAAACCATAAAATTTGAAACTTTTTATTTACAACTATTAATTAAAACCATCCTTATTTGCATGCTTTTCCAATTTCTGCTAATTCAGAAGCAGTCAGAATAAAACATAAATTTATTCCCTTCATCTCAATATCTCTAAATTTAAACATAATAAAACATAATAAGAAAAGAAATATTCAATGTATAATCTACTGATATTAAGAGTTTTATTTGCACAATGAAATAATTCAATTAAGATTACCTTATATTTTAAATATTAAATTTTCTACTATTATTAATTTATTCATTTTATTATTATAATGTTTAAATATAACTCTTTATGATTAGGATCTTGATTGTAAAATCTAGACTTGCTTCAGATTTATGGCTTATGA